CCCCCCCCCCCCTTCTGTTTTTACATTAGAAATTAGAAGGCTGGAATGCTGCCCAGTAATGCTGGGAGGTGGGAGCAGAGTGAGCTCAGCTTCTGACAGAAAAAAATGTAATGATTCTCTTGCAAACTTTACAATGCATATTCTTATTTTAAAAGAGGAAGTCTGGCAAGGAATCCCACCAATAAACAAACACACTCCCCCCACCTCACTGATAAAGGAAAAAAATCTATTAGCCCAATACTGACCTAACTCTGTGTCCACATGGTACACTGGGTTTTGAGACTTCTCTCCTTTGGACTGCAGAGCAGGAAGGACCTTTTTGGGTGCCCATGTCACTGCCTAGTCCTTAAGGTCTCCAACAGCAAGATGATGATGCCATGGCAAGGAGCAGCAAAAAGACTGGTTAGCGATGTGCCCAGACTGCAGCATTGGATCACCAACTTTGACTACGGAAAGTAGCATCCCAGAGGTCCTTGTGACAGCAGACTCAGGACAGTATAAAAAGGCTCATTAAGGGTTTAAAAAGATAATTGGGAATGGGTGGGAAGGATAGACGTTGAAGTAAATTTCCCCAAAGATGGATGGGCTTTCAAAAAAAATGTATACAAACAGAAGTCCTAAACTATATGTCAAACAGCTTGTTATGTGGTTTCAGTGCCCTATATGTGGGAATAAGATACTGCATAGTAGGGATGCACCGATACCGATACTAGTATCGATATCGGTGCCTATACCGAGTATTTGGGCGAGTCCTCTTACTCGCCCAAATGCTCCGATGCCTAGCACAAGTACTTCCTGTATCAGGAAGCCGGGCAGCGCGTCATTACACGCTGCCCGGCTTCCTGATTGGTCGGGAAGCTGGCCAATCAGGAAGCCGGGCGCCGTGTAATGACGCAGCACCCGGCATTCTGATTGCCCGGGAAGCTGGCTTCATGCTCCCTTGTCATCTCATGACTGATTGGCCGGCCAGACAGCTCTGGCTGGGTACCGGAGGAAGGCCGCGTTCTGGCTGGAGAGGCCCCCGGGGGTGACAGGCTGGACATACCAAGGTAAGAGGGGACAGACTTTCTTGTTAATCGGGAAACCGGGTGGCGAGTCTTTACACGCTGCCTGGCTAATCCGGAAGCCAGGTGGCGAGTCATTACACGCCACCTGGCTTCCTGAATGGGACTTCCGTTACTTGGTAATTGGTATCGGCGAGTACCGAAAATAAATTATCGGTACTCGTACTCGGTACCAAAATACCGTTATCGGTGCACCCCTACTGCATAGGCTAATGCAAGTTGATCAAGAACCTGTTTATTGCAGTAGATTTACCTGTCCGACATCTGTCCTGACACAAACGAACCGAAAAGCACTCCCAAGAAGAAAAGTGAGGTAGTTAATGGTCCTTTCCAGTCATTTTCACAAATCAAGTCCCACTGCAAGAAAGCAGAAAGCAAAAATTAGCATTGGTCCTCTTCCAATTAAAAGAAAACCTGAGTGTAGGAAATATGAATGACAACCTCTCCTTCAAAAAATGCTGGTTGGTTGGCTGGCTGTCAGGATGATCCAGTGGCTGCAATACGTTCTGAGCCTCTTCCCCATCTCAAGCATGTAGATAAGTTCTGACTTTGCTTCCTGCATACTTGTTTCAGGGCAGTGACTAAAGTTATTGAAACCAGAGACAGCCAGGCAACTAGAACCCTCATAACAGAGTCAGCGATGCCTTATTTTTCTCATGACTTCCTTCCTGGTTTCTTTACTACTCAAATATACCAAAAAACTTGAATATATATATTATATGTTTTTTTTAATATAGATGGTCCTCTGGGGTTTAAAAACAGCTTGGAAAATTATAATTTTTTGGGCTTTACTGAAAAAAGAAACATATTCTGCTTCTTTTATTCAAAGCTGCCTTTAAAAGGTTAATTGCACTTTCCCCGGTGAATTTGGGCTAATGGAATTACCCCTTCCTGGCTATACTTACCTTTTGGCGAATGCTCCTTCCCCTCCACCGGTAAGAGTATACTAGCACTTCTGACTGTGCTGACCAATGAGAAGCGCTGACCAATAGTGCTTGCCATTTGGGAGTGAAATTCAAAATCTATAGTGCAGGGCTTGTACCGGTGAAGTAGCATTCGCCAAAAGTTTAGTTAAGTTTAGCATAGGGGTTGGTTGGGGGAGAGGGCCAGATTGGAGGAAGTAATTCCATTTTCCCAAATTCATCTGGGAAAGTGGACTTACCCTTTAAAGTCCAGACACAAAAGTGGATACCTTATGACCCACCTCTCAGCTTCCTGATTGGCTAGGAAGCAGGCTTCACTTTTTGCTAGACAGCCTGGCTTCCTGACCAATCAGGAAGCCGGGAGGTGGGTCATGACCCCCCATCCGGCTTCCTGATTGATCAGAAAGCCAGGCAGCCCCGGCAAGTGAAGCCGGTGTTCTTTCGATAGAACACTGGCTTCCCAGGCAATCAGGAAGCCGGACGTCGGGTCATGATCCGCCGTCCAACTTCCTGATAATTGGGGCACACAGCACCGGCACTCGGTATCAACGAGTACCAGAAAACATTATCGGTACTCGATACCGAACAACCGGTATCGGTGCATCCCTAGATATCACTACTTGAAGAATCAAGAGATGCAAAAATGTTCTCAACCTTGCAGTGCAAGGGTTAACTGCTCATTTTTGTCTAGAAACCCGTTATACTCACCTGATCATTGCCCTTTAGCTGAGGGACATTCCATCGCTCGAAGGAAGAGAGAGGCTTTAGGCTTAGACAAAAACAAGCACTTAACCCTTGCAGTGCGTGAGTAGCCCCACTGCGAGGGTTAAGAAAAAGTTTGCCCCGGAGTTCTCTTTCATTGGCCTGTGATGTCTTCATTATTCTGTCATAGGGTTGCTCTGAAGGTTTCAGATGGGATGGTGACAGCGCTCAGACATGAATGTTTTGGTTTTTTCCTTCCTCTAACATGAGCACTCTCGTCTGATGCTCAAACTTCCCTCCAGCAATGACTTTTTTACTGGCAAAACTCTTCCTGTCCCACACACATTCAAGTGTCTGCTTAACTGTACCTAAATCATATGTGTGCATACCATTTACCTTTCATTTATAACATTTCCACATGTCCACTAAAAAAAGAGAAAAAATTAATTCTTATATTACACATCGCTTTTTATCAATCTAGTGTTTATTTTACATTAGTCAGACATACAGTATCAGGGCAAAGTGCTGTATTTACAGCAAATCTATTAACTGACACAAGCTGTGATTTGTAAATGTTTCACCAACACACTGCACTTTACCCTCAGGAAGGCTGATCAAATGGAAATGTTGTATAGAGGTGACACACAGCCATTACCATTTATCAACACGAGGACACAAAATGATGCTGTGCAATGGAAGCCATTGTCAGCCATATCCAGCTAGGAACCAATGCAAAATCAGGCCATTACATCAGCACAAATGATTAGGTTCTAGTTTTTGCAAAAAGAAAGCAAGTTATAATACATGTAAGGTAAACAATAAACAATTTGGGTGAACAACTTAACCCAAAGATGCAACCTACAATTTCCTTTAGCTGTTGAAAATTTGACATAGCCTTCTTATATCTCGTCTACCCTGCCTGTCCATTTATGCTTTCGTTTGGTTTCCTGTCAGATGGCACCAGTGGGCAAACCCAAAACTCAATGAAATTCAATCCCCGCCCCGCAGGATTGGTGAAAACCAGCATCTGCTTAGGCTGTGCAAGTTTTTTCAATGATGACACAATAACACCTTAACCATATCCTCATGGGAGGTAGCTAAAACATGTGCCATAGTCTTGCAGTGATATAAGAAGGCAGCAGATGATGCAACCCACAGATGGCACGCAGTTGAAGCCAGAAGAGACATGCAAAGTTTCTTGTGCCAAAACACATCTTATCCCTAGAGACTAGAATGTCCACTGTATGGTGCATGTGCCGTGCAATGTACACTCTGAGCTCATTCATGGTACCTTGAAAGATGCTGTGAATGTGCCTGATGACGGAGAAGATAAGTTACATCATCAGCGGCCACCCAATGACCGAAGAGGATGCCTAGGAACCTGGAAGTGGTGGCAGCAAGGGACCGAGCGGAAGGACCGAGGATGCATGCATAGTGCTGGAGATGGGCACACTTATAAGAGAAGTTATAGAGACACGTAGAGAGACCAATTGCCACCACAGATGATCACTAGAGCCATAGATATTATATGCTTCCTGTTACAAACTCGGTGTTAAATGGTAGTAAAACCCAATCAACATATTACAGTAAACTTACTGATATCGTCTTCAATAGCAGGTATATACAGTACATCTGTTGCTACTCCTATTGTAAAGATGGTCAGCACTCATATTGTCCCAACTGTTCTATCCTTTTCCATCAGGATGGTCAGCGGCTGCATCTCCCCATCTATCCATGGATGTTAAGCCTGATGAAGGGACCCTGCGCGCTCCCGAAAAGCGCTTGTTTCCATTTGACAATTGGTCAATAAAATGGACTTTTGTTGATCCTAAATGAGTTTACGTGTGCTGGTGACATTCTTCTCAACAAATTCATGTGATTAGCGGCACCATCCGCAGTCATTTCTAGCACCCTTCCCTATCATTGGAGTGTGGAAGGAGTCTGACAAGACCTTCTCTATATCCCCATCTATCAGATGTGGCCAGCCATCCTGAAGGGGCACTGCAAGGGTTAAGTGCTTGTTTCTGTCTAGGGACCTAAATAACAAAGTTATATTCACCTGAACCTTGGAGCCAACTGGTTGCTACTCCAGCCCCTGCCGTCTATATCTTCCTTCGCTCCAGCGATAGAATGTCCCTCGGCATCCTCTCGTTCTATACGTCGTTGTATAGAACGTGATGTCTCACGGCTTCTTAGACCGATGGAGCAGAGGGGGATCCAGGCTGCAAGGACTGGTCTAACATCCAGTCGGCTCTGAGATTCAGGCGAGTACAACTTTTGTATTTTCATCCCTAGACAAAAACAAACACTTAGAGTAGTATTAAGGCCTGGGAGTTGTTTACCTTAATGCATTCACTGCATTAGGGTAAAAACAGCCCAGCACCCCAGTCCCCCCCACACTTACCTGCCAGCTGCGCTCGTCCCCGCCGCCGGTGCCGAGGCGATCATTCGTACCCCGAACTTCCGGGTTGCGGGGGGAGGATACTGATGGCAGATGAGCCAATATATAGGTCAATAGAAGGGGAGGGGCTTGGCCTGCCACAGGGCTGTGTGTGTCTATAGACGCACACAGCCTCTGCGGGGACGAGAGCGCACGGATGGCACCCGTGCAGGGGGCGGCGGAAGCGCATGGCTGGGACACAGTAGAAAACGAGGAATGAAGAAGTTCAAAAAAACAACCACAGCCTCCAGCAAATGAGGGTCTCCTTAAAGGAGAAATTAAAAAAACAATTTGGCTTTAATATCACTTTAACCCATGCAGTGTGGGGGTAGCCCCACTGCAAAGGTTAAGAATATGCCCGGAGATCTTCTTTAAATTAATTCTAAAGCTGGCCACACACTGGTACATTTTTATATAAACATGTATATGAAAAATCTAATTGGAACATTGGAAAATGTCATCAGAGAGTTGTAGACTGTCATTCAGAATTTTGTTTGATTTTAACATTCGATTTTGGAAATGAAATTGTGACTCTGCAACAAAAACCCCATTTACTGTTACTTTGTTTGTTCAAGTAAAACTTTCCATCCTGCTCCTTCGATTTTTTTTTTATCACTACGGTCAAAATCCATCAATGCTTTTTGCTCCATTAATGATTACAGAACAGAAAGAATATGCCAATCCAGGTATATAGGCAGTTTAGGATCAGGCCCTGATCATAAGGAAAATTATCATATACAGAACTAGTAGCTAACAACAACATATCATTTTAGACAAGTTAAGATGGAAAATTCCCGGGACATGTTAATCATTAAATAACAGTTGCCACTAAGTGATGACAATACCTCTGAGTTAAGTTATCTTTACTGAACTCCTACATTCTCATCAGCTAGTAATAATCTGTGATAGATTGTCAGCATGACTGTGCTGATGACCTTTTGTTTGCTTTTAATGTCAGGCAAAACTGATCCTAAAACAGTGCAGTGCATCTGTTTACTTGGAAAGAATTCCTTTTTTTAAGGTGGAAATGCACTTTACTTGCATAGTCATCACCTGCAAGCTGTAGAACAAAAAGACCCCTTATTTCCTCACAGCTGTATACTGTACCCAAAACTTCCTTGTCTGCCTTTCCAGCTTTCTTATGCTATCAAAAATAGTTTGTACACAGAGGTTTCAATAACTGAATGAATGCAGCAAAAATTTTATATATTTGTTTACAGTGGCGAGACACTGATTTAATTATGCACTTTTTACCTACTTCCAAGCTACAACTGAAAACAAGCAGTGACTAA